TGGAAAAATTCTCTTGTCTTGCCAACGTGATCTGCATATACTTTTTCAAGATGTCGTTTTAATTTATTTGGTTTCATGCTGTCTGAGGCCAAAGTATTCATACACAGCAAACACAATGGTCGTTCTTGGCCATTAATAACCTTATATGTAAATTCTAATGATAAGTACATTGGATCTTATTTTCTATATTTAGGTTTACTATTTTGCGAAGATGTATTTCCGATATTTTCATCATCTTTTCTTTTGCCCTCTGCTTCTGCTTCATTTAATTTTCTTTTCAAGCCAGTTACGTATTTATCCATCTAAAAGGGGTATTATTTTAAATCAATGACTTTATATTAATTTAAAATACAATACAATTATATCAATATTTTCTTTTAAATTAAATATCAGTCCTAATTGGGATAATTTTTAAATGTAGAATTAAAAACATTTTTTGTCAAAATTAATTACTGGAATACAAACAACATAAAAATAACTTGCGCTCTTCTTACATAAACGTGAATTTTTCCAATAACAATATTCATATTACTCAATTAAAACGGTTACTGGTAAATTTACGAGAAAGTAAAAAAGCGCTAGTAGTGAAAAAATAGTATATTAACATCGGCCAGGATGTTATTTTATTGTTTCGGATGTTTATAACCATGGCACTTTGCGCTCGTGCCGAAAAACTACCTTAACACTAAATTAACATTTCCTGGTTAATAAGGTACTATTATAACAGTTATGAAATTTACCTCAATGTTAATTTATTTAGAAGTTACCAAAGCGAAGTGTTTCATTCTATATATCAACGTGGTTATCGCAAGCACAACTAACGAACTAATTCTGTTCATAGAAAACAGAAACAATCAGATGCTTCTGTTTACTGAAGTTTGGCGCGAGTAAGCACGAGAATACCCGGAATGTTGCGAGTGCTTCTCTTTTGATTCCACGTCCCACTGGTGCTCGGCTCCAAATGTGAAAGCGAGATATTTCGTTCCACGAAGCGTATGGATGGTGTAACAACAAAGTTCAAATGAATAAAGGTAAAAATATCTCTTACCGTTTCGAATCCGGGCGGCGAGTATTCCATCGACATGAAGATCGTCAAAACTTAAACTAAATTTAAGGCACATCCTTCTATAGAGATTACAATAAAATTATTATTATTATTATATACATATATACAGTTATAATTGATTTACACTTAACATCCATGATAATTAAACGCGCTTTCAGATACAAAGCGGTTCCAATTCTGTTACTGTGTAGCAGTTCGACTGTCTCCTCCTACGCAAATCGAGTTCAAAGTTTTTTACTTAGGATTTAATTCTAAAGTTCGCTAGATGGCGATGGGAGTTCAGAGTCGAGTTGTAACAGATGGGATGTTTTAGCATTTGTACCCGAAAAATTCGCGGCGAGAATTGAGGATTACGTATACTCCTGATTCATTTTTTGACACGTATTTGACGTTTTTGGTTTGTATTCGAAAATGATATTTTGGAAACACCTGCATGCCCCCCTTGCAACAGTCTAAACCATTGACTTAACTCATTAATCGCCAAAACTACAAGGAATGTTTCTTTTCTCATGAAAATAATAACAAATATTAAATTAAGCATTTATAACATAAATTTACATTGAAAATTTAAAAAAAATGCTCTTACCTGTGGAAAAAGCGAGTGTTGCGTTCGCGCAACGTCAGTGGAATAAGACTACGGATGTTTAAGTGAGGAGGATTGCACTTGTGTGATGTTTCTTTTGAGTGGAGCGCAGGATTACCTTTTAGCTGTATAACGTTTTATGAATCTACAAATCACTTTACTTGTAATTAATTTAATATTAAAATATACATTTTATTTCTTTTACAAATACAGATTATTTCATTTGAAAGATTCAAGCATGAAAAGCTTGATTACAATCATGCTGTAAAGCTACATTACATACTTTGCATCTATAAACAGTCTGGCTATGGTACTCTTTACAACAAAGTCTTTTGTTATCAACGGACTTTACGATAAAATGTCTACCATCTCCATGCAATGGTTTTTGAATGCTGAATGTACTAGTTCTTCCTGTTGCTGATCTATTTCTGGCTAATTCTACGCTCCCAATAGGAGTTTGCAAAAGGAATAATGTATTCTCGGGTCTGAAATCTAAAAGAGACTATATTTCCAGTAGTAAAAAGTGGTGATATTTAGTAACTTTAGATACGGTCTCACCTCATATAATTTATCGGTACTGTCAATTTGACCATTGCCAAATGCAAATTCTGCTTCATATTCCTGTACTGCGAACGTGATATCAATTCTCGTACAACAGGAACAGAAATGCCCTTATTAAAAGACCAATACATTTTTTCTTGAGGTAAAGAATGATATCCTGTAAGGAATAATATTCCAATAAATCTTCTCATATAGGCTTCAGATGCAATAAATTCAGGTTTTTTTTTTTTTTTTTTTTTTTTTTTTTTGCTGAGTGTATATATTTGTCTGTTCAACGAGAAGAGAGTAAATGTTTAAACCAAAGAGAAAATCGAAAATCTGTGCACTAGTTTTACCTTGTGTTTTGTCTTTTATAATTTCTCTTCTATCTCTTTCTTCATGTTCTTCCTGAGACATAACTAACAGTTCCTTTTTTATCCACTTCAAGATCTCAGTCTTCTGCTTTTTAAACTTTTCATTATGACTATAACTGCTTTTAGAAGGCTGAAACGTACTTCTTACGTGAATTTCAACTTCCCCACCAGTATCATTTGGTAAAGTATCATTATCATTATTTAAAACATTGCCATTCCTTTCTTCTTCGTCACTAGATTCTGCAATTTCTGGGGAACAACAACAATATCAGTTTCATTCTGGTCATTATTAACATTATCATCATCTATTCTTCATAAAAAAATATCTTTGAAGGGCTTCTTCTAATGTAAGATACCTCGTTCTAGGCATTTTTAAACAACCAGAACATCGAAAGGAATGAGTGAAAAAGGAGATTGACTACCCGCTTCCTGCTGACGTTGTGTCAACGCAACACCTGTTTTCCTTTCCTTTCAAACACAAATATAAACATCTGACTGATGTAATGTTCTGATAAACGGTGACCTTGACTAAAAATAGATCACTCATAAAGGCGGCAATTCTTTCGTTAAATATTTTCAGCAAAAATACCCGGTCGAAAATTTTGCTTAAATTTTGCTTAAAGTTTGAGATTAATTATTGTAAACAAAATGATTGTTGAAGGCAAATATTTTTTTACAGAAATAATCTTCATAATATTCCCTACACAAAATCATCTGCTGGTATAAAATATCTTAGGTAGTTATATTTATATGCGCATTTATTTTGACCGTTGCGTCAACGCAACACCAGCGGCTAATGGGTTAATGTCTCTGCAAACTCTAATAAGTACGATTCAAGAGAGGGGTGTGAGGAGCCACGTTGGCGTATATGATGCCATTTTGTTCTTCCCCGCATTCTTCAACTGTTTGCGTGTGATATCCAGTGTTTGGGTCTACAAAATTGTATCTGTGGTTAACTGTGAGATGTATCCTGCTTCTTTTAAATCCCCTGTTTTGTATGCTTCCAATCAGAAAAAAAAAAAAAAAAAATACTGCCGTCTGCGACATTTTTTCAATCGTGCCAAGTAAAGTTTTAGCTTAGCGATCCGAAACGGCTGCAAGAAAACATTCTTTTGTTTATTTAAATATGCCTCCAAAATCCCACTGTGAAGGAAGAATCCCGTCCAAGCGTTACTCTTTCTTCTCGTAAAAAAGACTTTCGTCAACCTCTACTTTTCTGTTATTTCCACCAACGTGAACTTCAGGTCTACGTTACAAAGAATTGAGCGCAAACCTTCCGCATACAATTGTTCCTTATTGTGGCTCACTTTTAATTGAATATTACAAAACTCACCAGTTCAGTTCATGGCACCAATGAACTACTTTACAGCTGTAAATCAGATGAATTTTACAGCTGCAAATATATGTAGGCGTGATCTTCCAAACCAAACAGGAGATCTAGCACCTAATTTTTCTCGGCAAGGTCTAAGGTTGCAGCGCCATTTTGATGTATCGTAATTGGTAAAGCACAACATTATTTCATGATTATTTTTGCAAAATTTTCGACCGTGAAGAATTCCTTTATCCAGTAGTAATTTCACTGCCACCTTCTTATCTTTAGGTAAATCACAATTTGTGAAATTCATTTTCTTTCTTCTCCTTCCCTAAAAATTGCCTTTAGTTAAATAATGTATACGAAGAAAGTCAGCTATCAAATCATGTTTCGCACAGTTTAAAAATAAAAAGGCACTTTGATATTTCATTGCATGGCACTTTGATATTTGGCTTATATTTTTAATTTTATAAGTATTGCCATACGCACTTCAGGAAGTTAATTTCTAAACAAGGTAATTTCCATACATTATGGAATCAGCAACAGAGTTACTAGCAATGTGGGCCTGCAAGAAAGCATTCTGTGCAATTACCCCAATCAAATAATAAAAACAAAACACAAATAAACGAAAGAACGATTTGACGACCTACTGAGCTTACTGATATCTGGTATCAGTTTCCGTTTGAGGAATTGAGGAGGAGTGGATCTGGCACCACTCATACTACGAGATGTATAATGGGATAATTCCACTACTGGGAATGGGATAATTCCTTATATACTTCCAAAATTAAATTAAAAGGAGATTTTAGGCCCAGTCGACAAAATGTAAGTGGTAAGGGAGTAGTAAATACCAAACGTCAGCTGTGCCTTCGCTGAGATCTGAAATAAGGGATATTTCCATCGATTGTTAGGCATTTTAATTACTTACGTTACGAAAGCACTCACGGGTAGGATTCCTTACAAATGTAGTTGACGTTGTGACGTTGATATAAAAATAACTAGAAAGTATTAAAAGTGACCGACGTTGATATAAGTAATGCAAAATATTACATAAATTTCAGTATCCGTAAAACTTTGGATTAAAAAATATATGCTTTTACTAATTAATAGTTTTTTTTTCCTTAGACCTTGGTGTTTAATGCTAAATGCAGAAGTTCTGTCATAAAATTTGAAATGGCACTCTGAACATAAATCAGAAGAAACTAATGTTTATTTTAAATGCCATAAATTATCAGGAAAAACTTCATTTTGTAAGTATAAAACATTTATCCTCTTTACAACAGCAACAAAGATTAATGAAGATACGAGTATTTTTCTAATAAATAATAATAAAATATAAATATGTGTGAGGAATTAAATTCTGATCTGTTTTTTTATGTGTCCTTTTTGAGATGTTGAATAATTTTGTTTTTAGTTAATATTTTTCCTATGCCAGGTCTTCTTAAACTTTTTTTTAGTCACGACCCCTTTTTATCACTGAGAAGTTTTTCGCGACCCCTCGACAAATAATGTTAACGAAAATTTAGTGGGACTCCATAAGCATAGCGCAAATCCGACACACGCGTGTGTGAAACCGTCAATATTTTCACTTGTGCTGTAATATACTATTGCAGTTTTAGGCCATTTACTTTAATTTCTAATTTTAAGACACAGAACAACGTGAAAATTTTTAATAAGTAACAGACATAATTACAGAGTCATGTGCAAAGCAAGTAAAATGAACATTTATATTATAAAAATAATGCTTCGAAACGTTTTCGTTTTTCTTTGTCTGTATTGTCTTACCTTTATCTATTATCAGATACATTGTGTAAAAATATTTGGTAATTGTATAAAAATAATGCTTCGAAAGGTTTTCGTTTATTTTGTCTAAATTGTCTTACCTTTATCTATTATCAGATACATTGTGTAAAAGTATTTGGTAATTGTAAAATTATTATAATAAATTAAAGAAATATCAAAACTGCTACAAATTTTGGCAACCTCCCCCCTCCCGACCAGTTTAAGAAACCCTGTCCTATACAACAACATCAAAAGCTGTAAACGAGAGAAAATTTCTTATTGTGCATAACCCATCTAAGAAAGATATTGACATCAACACCTTGGTGAGCAATAGGCCCACCAGCGCTCGAATGGTAAGTCTCGCTGAACACTGATAGCTCAGTACGGGGTTCAAATCTCGGCATGGGCATTTTCGTGGTTTTTCTCCATTTGTAACGTGTATACGAGTCAGTTTCTCCTAGAAAGTCCTCCCTGAAGACATCCTTCCTCTCAGACAGATAGACAACAAGTGTTTTGCCATAATTAAATAAACCAAAACCCTGATGAACAACATTTTAATTCGCGGAAATGTTTAACATCTTGGGCATCGGAGCTAAAATAGATGTACTTACTAAACCCTGTTTTAACTCACAGTTGTTTTTCCTGCATATATCCTATGATGGCAAATATCTTATTTTTATTTCAAAACCAAGAAAATTTCCACGTAGTAAAAATGAAAGCCCGTATCATAAAAAGCATACAAAAAGAAGATTTCTAATTAGTTTACACTAATTTCTACAATGGGATTGCTATATATGCTTTATTAAATTTCATTAATTGCTTCATTATCTTATTTTGAATGCCTAATTATTGTACATAATTCTAAAATTTTTTTGTGCTTTATATACCCACCTTAAAATTACAAAAAAAAAAGAATAAATGAATATAAAGTAATTTTCTAAATAAATAACAATAAAATATAAGTATATGTGAGGGATTAAATTCTGATCTGATTTGTTTCCTTTTCGAGATATTGAATTATTTTGTTTCCAGTTAACATATTTGATATATCAAAATTATGAACAGACTGTTAAAAAAATAGTAAATGCTTTTGGTTCATGTTTATATTTTCAGAAAAAGATGTAAAGTTAATGTTATTTACTTTATAGAAATATCTAGTGTATTGCAACAAAACTAAAAATGTAAATTTTGGGATAGGAAAGAAGCAATATTTTTATCATGCGGGAGAAAAAGAATTATCTTTCAAAATTTACATTCTCCAGAGCGTATTAAAAGATTAAGTATAATCCATATTAATTTTAAGTTTTTATGTTTATTAATGTTTGCGATTATTTTTCTACTTCAATTAAAATATTGCACAGAAAGAAATAAAACAGATAAAAAAACCCAGAAGGATTAAATCAAATATGCACTTTGTTAAGATTATAATTTAGAAGCAACTTCGATTGCTATAATTTAGTTTTTCAGAAGACTTTTAGATATTAATGAAAGTAAATACTTTTTGCTTAGCTTATATCCTAATATTCGTCAGTTGTTCAATTCGCGATTTGATTACTAAGCAAGAAATATTCTAAGTATGATAACAAAAAAATGTAAGAAAAAAAGAAATCTGAAAGGCTTCAGGTTTTAACGGTCGCCCAAAAGTGTTTGTTAAGGCTTTCTATGCTCTCGCTGAGCTAGCAGTCTATCGGTCTGCTGTTATACCTACACTACTAACCAGTTATGCTTTGTCTTTTTAGCACCTACTAACCACCTTTTACTTCCTCGTACGAAGTAAAAAGGAAGTATTGAAATAGCGAAAAGTTTCAAGCATCAAATTTCAATGCAAATATCCTTTTTCACTGCTATCGAATGAAATTTAACGATGTTTTAGCTTGACATCTGTTCGTAAGGACAGAATAAAGAACTCTTTTTCCCTCAAAAAATTGTAAAACTAATTTTAAATGAATTCTAAAGAAGAATGTTTCGTGACGTCTGTGCATGTGTACGTACGTATGTATCTAACTCAAAAACGAGTAGCCTCAGAACATTGAAATTTTGTACATAGGACTGCTATCATGTAGATGTGCACCTCGTATTTTCGTTGCAATAGGCCGCACCAAAAGTACATAAATATATGCATATATGTATATATATATCCACTCTGTTACTCGGCTCAGTGATCTCATTTTCTTTATTTTTATATGTTTGTGAATTGTGCATTTTTTGCTTTAAAAATGATTGAATTATGTCGCTCCTATTTTCCGGGTAAGGTTTCTTTGCCTTTAGTAAATCTGTATGCAATATTTTTAGAATTATCAGCAATTTAAAAATTGTTTAAGTGCTGCTAAGCCTAATAATTTTTTTTCATGGCGGCCATTGCTTGTTTACATTTGAAGCAGAATAATAGTAGATTTGTTGCCAATCTGGATAAAGTAAGCTTCGCAATAACAAAGATAACGCATTCTTTTATTATTGCGAATTAAATCATGCTTCCAACGGGCGCGCCTTCTGCACCAACAAGAAATGTCGCGCGTATTTCTTAGATACGCGCGACATATAGATAAATAAATTTTCCAGAGCAAAAATATTAAAATTAGTTTGTAAATAGTTAAATGTTAATAAATACAATTGAGTTAAACAATATTAACTTTAAATTAAGGAAAATAAAATAAGTATCAAGCAAAAAAACAATATAAAATGGACTAAAGACTTATCAAACTAACTTGAAAGTAAAACAAAATTAAACTGCCAATATTTCAACTGAACTTTTATATTTTTAATCAGTAAGTGAAAAGACACATTAAATATTACATAACAAATCAATTTCATAGTCACTTCATTGCATCGGTGCAGTCTGAACAAATATGTTTACAATGCTCTAGACAAATGAATTTTAAGCAAATCTCACAGCTGAACCTCGTAATTCTAGTATGCTTGTCATTTTGGCAGGGTTTGCATCTTTTTTTTTTCCTGAAGTCATTTCTTCAACGATAGCTAATTCTGCTTTTCGTTTCAACAATTTAAATTTCAGCTCACTTTGAAGAGAGTTAGGGATTCTTCTTTCAATGTTTTACTTCACAAGAGCATTTGCCAGCTTTCGAAGATATTATCTTCTAAGTAATTTTTCACTATTATTCGTTGAATGAATTATGTAGCTATTGATTGCTGCTATATTCAGCATAGAGAAGAAAACTACAAGAGGCCAACGCCTGGTGTTCCTGGCAACTTTGTAGGAAGCACAGAGTTTATCCACTGTATCCACACCTCCTTTGGTACGATTGTAAAATGTGATAATCTTAGGCTTTTTTGGTCTTGGGTATCTTCATCTATTGCTACGTCATCATGAAGATTTGAAATCAATATGACGTTTCTATAATACTAGATTATTTCTATGGGTACATAGGAGAGAAGTGTCATATTTTTCTAAATCCAAAAAGACTCATATTGGGTTCCCGAGTTTTCGTCAGGTTGAACTGATCCGGAATTTGAGGTTTATTGTTTTTCAAAGTACCTACAAATGACAATTTTTTTCATCTATTTCTCGTACTAACTAAAAACTTGAAAACCATTTGTCTGTGGTTACATTTCTTCCAGTGTTATCAATGGGTTCTGTCAACCTTTTTACAACATCTTGTGGTTTATTGCTTACGTAAAGAGACAATCTGGCTGCGCTCCAGCATAAATGCCCATATTGTATGTGTAAAACATACGAGCTTCTACCATGGCATAAATTTTTATGCCATATTTGTTCGGTGTTTGGGGGAATGTATTGAATGAAACCACATCTTCCTCAAAACCCTTCTAATTTCTCATCGGTTGTGACATTCTCTCCAAGTGAATAGCACTTCTGGCAATTAGAGACAAACTTTTCAAAAATGTTTCTTATTGGAGCCAAGTGGTCGACTTCTCTTCGTTCTGATCTTGTGTTTATGTCATCAAACCGTAAAGCTCTTAGTAAAAACAAAAATCTCTTCAAGTTCATTACTACTTTAAATTCCTCCATTCTCCACAGTTCCTCAAGATTCCAGAACTCTGTGACCATGATAAATACCAGCTAAGTAAAGTAAGCCCAAAAGAGCTTATTTCTGCCCATTCGTTTCTCTGCTGTCTCTTATACGAGAATAATTAGACTTCACAGAAGAAATAAACTTATTCGTATCTTCAGCGATGATTTCTATCAAACTATCAGTAAAGAGGCATTTCCATATATCCAAAATATCTGTTAGCTATTTAGCTTCACCGATGACTCCAGAAACATGAACACATATGTTACGAGGCGCTCGTTTAGTTTTCTTTTTATGCCATGTCCAAGAATCGATGACTTTTCTGTTTTTCATTTGATGAGATATATACATTTCGGAAGAATTATCATCATTATTTCCCTCTTCAGAATTTCCCTCTGCACTAATTTCCGATTCTGAATCACCTTTTTCTGAAATTCGCTCTTCTTCATCTGTAATGCTTTCATCTAAAATAATGTCCTCAT